ATTAGCAGACTAATGTGGGGGAAAATGAGAACTACTGCAATTCAGCATAGACTAACATTAACCAAATTACAATAACCAATAGGTGGAAACAACTAAATACAACATTAGAAGTGAATTAATTTAGCCTAGTTGCAACTTTCATACTTGAATATATAATAGCAAATATACCTAGAACTTTAATATCACTGATGCAAGAAGAAAACCTCCTTACATTGAAAACAAGAACCTGTCTTTTGGACTAGATTTCCAGATTATTTCCATAGTACAAAAAATTTTAGTTACATATACAATTAAAAGAAACACTGGAGAACCAAGACAATAAAAATCCCCACAGAATCAAAACTAAATGTCAAAAATACAAGACATTCCTGTGGACAAGGGAAATCAGCAAGAAAGAAAAGTGGCCTTTTCTAGGTCTAGAGAGGGCTTTCTGATGTAAAATGGTTCAATCAGAATTGGAAAGGCAACCAGGAGTTGAAGGCAGTGTCTTCCCAGAACCGGTTTCTGAAAGTGGGGGAAGGGGCCAAACATTCACTCTTTCCATTCAACATTTACTAAATGTTTCTCTGGGCAAGGTAATTGACAAAGGTCTCAGTTTTATCTTATGTAAAATGTCTGCTTACCAATGTTGTGAGGATAAGAGCAGCCAGTATTTATTAACCATATCACTTGCTTAATAATTTACAACTCCATGAGATAGATTCGACTGCCATTTCACAGATGAGAAAACTGGACCACAAAGTAACTCTGAGATGGATGATGGATGATCACAGCTTTGGAAACTAGGCTATCCGATCTCAGATCCAGAAACTTCTGAACCACTAACCCAAGTGCGCTGTAAAAAACATGTTCCCTTTCTTCTCAATTATATTCCTACCATCTCTGAAGTTAATAGAAAATGACATATCTCTAAAGCAACCTATGTGCCTGCAATGGTAAAGTAATTAACTGTCCTCATAACAGCCTTATAAAGTTGGTTTGGGTTTCAAATAAGCTTCAGTTTATTTTACAAGGAAAAAAATCACACTCAAATTATGTTGCTGACAGAAATGTTCCTGAGTCTGAGCTCAGGGTCAAATATTTTCCCAAGACCTAATTAATACAGTGGGGCACAGGGAATGGAGGGGACAAAAGAACTTGACCATACAGATTTCAGATACATAAAAATAAAAAAGAATACTGTGAAACAGCAGCCTTAGAGCCTGTTGTCCATCAAGATTCTAGAATATTCTACCCATTGACTTTTCATCTCCAATCTCCCACAAAATACCAACAGAAGGTAGTGGAGTCCCTGTCTGTCTTTCCCACCCTAATTCCCCTTGATAAACCAAATCTTTTGTTATATACACCATCTGATTATTAGAATGAAAGCATTAAGTTCTATGGTATTTAAAATTTCCCAGGATACAGAAAATCTACCAGTAACTGAGATATGAAGAACTAAGAAAAACAATCTCAATCTATGTGCAAAACACCTCTCAGGCATTTTAAATACATGAAAAATAATAGCCTGAAGGAAAACCAAAATTTACTATGTTCAAGGTTTTTCATTTTCATGACCTGGCTCTTCCTATTCACTTCAGAAATGTACTGATACTGGTTGCCTTTCAGTATTTGTAATTTGATCATCCAAAACTTAGGAGGAATGTGTTCTTTAAACAATGAAAAGAAAAACTGGTTTTCAATTTTTATGGAATTTTTGGTGTGTATGTGCAAAACATTTAAGGACATTATTTCCAGTCATAACCATTTCTAAACTAACCCTTAAACGGATTAGAACAGTAGAAATCACGAAAGAAGCAAAGAAGCAACAGATATGGTGCTGCTTATCGAATGTCTAGACTGCAGGCAAACCCCAAATACCAAAGAAGCATCCATGTGTCAAACCAGTATAATTTTTTGAGCTATGCCTGAGGCCACATACCCCCCCCCCAAAAAAAAAAAAAAAAAACACCAAGGAGGGGTTGTAACCAGAAGGTCAACCCCAGTTCACAGGAACTAGGGAGAAACTAGAAGGGTCAAGCTAGCTAGCCATTACCAGTGTCATCTTCCGGAGCAGCTTCCTCACCAGCCCCTTATAATATCTCTGAAAAGCCCAACCCCCTTAACGTTTGTTTCCTCAAGGTCATGCTAAGATAATGCATTTGAATACTTGAGTCGCACACACCTAGGCCAAAAAAGATCCCCTCTCCCAAAATCATCACATAAAATGCCATTAGCCCTTGCTCCGGAACCTCATCAGAAACTCCCAGACTTAAGGCTGGGCAACTAAATGTGTTCAGTTCTGCAACATCAATTATTAAAGGGCTTTTCAAGTCTGGCAAACTAGCAATTCCAAAACAGGTGCTTTCAGTGTACTTTTAATGATAAGGTCAAATTCATTTTAATTATTAAAAGAAAAAGAAAAAAGTTGTCTTTAAACTTCCTTGGGACAACGTCAGCAAGGGAAAACCAATGCTGGGATAAAACTGTAACAGGTTCCCTGTTTGGCTAAACAGTAATTCCTCCTCTTCTGAGTGCCCGCAGTAAATGGAAGGTTAGAAGGAGAAAATAAAAACAAAGAAACTGACTGGGGTCATAGTTACCAGCACAAACTCCGCACCACCTTCCCACTCCAAGAAACCCACCCCAACCAAAACAAACCTGCCCTTCCCGGTTTCCCCCTCCCACACCAAAGCACACAAAGCCTGCTGGCACGCACGATTCGCCCACAGACCTGGCTTCCCTCAGCAGGGCAACCAGGAGCCCCGAAAGTTCCCCACGGGGCTTTTCGGGTGTCGTCCGGGTAGGGCCCCTGGACGTGCGAGGACGCTCGCGTGGAGGAGGGGCTAGCGGCACTCGCCCGTTTCCCCGAAAGCAGCAAAATGCCTCCGGCGTGCTCTCCCGGGGTCTCGCCCCTCCCCAAACTGCGCGTCCCCTCGACACGCGGCGACCGCGGAGAGAGACACCAGGCGGCAAATAGAAATGCTCCCTGGTGGATTTGTTGGTAAATAAGACATCACGGGTCGGGAAGAAAGAAAGTTCCTGTGAAGAGCGGCTCGCCAGGGCGAGGGCAGCGGGAGGTGAACCGCATCCCCCGCAGTCGCCTCCCTCACCTGAGTGGGAACAACGGGCCCCCGCGCCCGCCCGGCGCCTCCCGCAGGCCGCGCCTCCCGCACGCCGCGCTGCCGGGGCTTGTTCCTCCTCATGGCTTTGCCCTGACGTAATTCAAACATGGCAACAGTTCGACTTCAAAGGCGAATCCACAGACCTCCCAGACGCAGACTCCCGGGCCACCAGTAACGGCCCGAAAAGTCCGAGTCTAGCTCTCCTCGACCCTCACCGGCCGCGGCCCCCGGAGCCTGGGCTGAAGCGCTGGGGGCCCGACTCGGTCGCCTCACCCGCGCGCCCGGAGCAGGGAAGCACGCCGCCTCCCTGCGCACCAGCATGGCACCTAGCACAAGTCGCGCCGCCAAAGTTTCCCCACGAGGGCCTGAGGGACAAAAGCCCCTCCCGACACTCGCCCAAACTTCGGGGCCCCTGGCCCGCATGGCCCTCCGCCCGGCCGTCGCCCCGAGCGCCGCGGGGCCCGCACGGGCACATGCAGCTCTTTGTTTTCTGTCCAGCCCGGCGCTGCCTACGTGCAGCATCAAGGATGTCGGAGTGTTTCTCAGGGGCGAGACACTTGACGAGCACCTCCGGGAAGGGTCCCGACCCGCGTCCCGAGGGTCCGGAGCCCCGTCCTCCCGTCCTCCCCTCGGCAACGAGCCCATTTAATCAAAGTTTTGCAGTGTCCTTGATGAGAAACGCCCGGATTGCCCGCCCCGCACAGGCTGAGAGTTGGCGACTTTCACTCTGCTTTTTAAACTGGCAGGACGCCATCATCAGCGAATCACATTGTCCTGCCGGCCCGACCGCCCGACAGCGACCGCATCCCACAGCTCACAAGGAGCTGGACATTCAGACCCAGAGCAGGATTGCTGCCCGAAGCACGTGGTCTGTCATGTTGAGCACAAAAAGCGGTGCCCTCCGGAGTTCGCTCGCTCCCGCAGCGCAGACAGCGCCACTGCCTCCATCCCCCAGGAACTTAGCTTAACTGGCCATCTTAAACCGCAGGCGGTCACCCTCCGAATGGGAAGCCCTCGCGTAGCGCCCACACCTACGCTACAGGTGAATAAATGGGGAGCAAAACTTCGGGCTGCAAAGACACCTCGGCCACCAGCGGCTGTTGGGCGCGGTCCGCGGACAGCAGGCGTGTGGAAGCCAGGCTGTTTTTAAGCGACCGCGTGTTGCTCTCATTGTCGCATCCGCATCCCCCCGGAGTTCGGCAAACAACGCCACGCCGCGTGCGCTCCCGAGAAACCCGGCGCTGACCACCGAAGGCCGATTTAAACCCCCTAGCGCCGCCAGCTCGGAAAGGAGATGGCAACTTAGTTTTCGAGCGATGGCGTTTATTGTCCACCCTATCAAAACACGCGCAGGGAGCTGCGATCAAACTACAGAACGAGGTTTCACAACGGCGCCCGACCCTCCTCGGGTTCGCGCCCACGCGGACGCACGACCCCGGGCGGCCCCGCGACTGCCAGCAAGTCATTTTCCTCCCGGGCCTTCCAGCCACCGGGTTCCCTTTCGCTAGGGAACACTGCGGCTGCGAAAAGTCATTGTCACCTTCAACGTGGATCCCTCAACTCCGCGACTCCTCAGTCATTTCCAGGATCCACTCACTTCCCCCGGCCCCCGACTTTCGGTTTACCTCAAATACCCTCCCCAATTATTAAGTACACGTTAAACATGTACACACAAAAGACTCCGGGGTCTGAAAATCACAAAAACAGCGCTCCCAGCAATGCCATCTCCAAGACAAAACTTCCTGTGTTTGTGTGTGCGTGTGTGTGTGTGTGTGTGTGTGTGTGTGAGGGCTGGGGGGAGGTGGGTGAGGTGAAAGAGGAAAAAAAAAAAACACTCTGAAATCAAAGCCTATGAGACAGTTTTGCACCAGAGTAATGATCAGAGTCACTCACCTTCCCAAAACTGCCGATCCACGCGCAATAGCGTCCCCGAGGTGCGGAGTGCACACCAGGCCAACCCCCTCCAAGCGCTCCCTCCTCAACTGCCTTGTCTAGAAAGATTGTCTCCTGCAGTTCTGCAGTTGCTACCGCCGGACGGGAAGGTGTAGATTCCTCTTTCCCTCTGCGCACGCGCGGCTCCCGGTACAAAATTCTCTTGAATCGAACTTATTTGCATACGGGCGCGCGCGCGTCGCGGACTGGGAGGGGAGAAGGCCGGGCGGCCGCGCGCGCTCCCGGGGCCTCTATTGTCCTTTTAAGGGGAGAAGTACCGCGGCGCGGGAAACGAGGCGGCCTGAGGGAAACGAGGGCGGGGACGGCTTACTACGGCGGACGTCACGTAAACAAACGCCTCCTGGCTGGAGGCGACTGCGAAGGGGGAGTGGCAGGATGGGAAAGGCGGAAAGGTTAGCAACAGGGGGAGAAAACTAGGCTGCGTGACGTGCTTTGCACTCCCAAAGTTCTTAGGGATCACGACTTGGCGTCGAAAAATAGTTTTAAAACTGCTTTGCAAAATCCTCACACCTGTGCCCAGGTTCTGGCTTGAGGTGACCGAGAAGGTGGTCTTGTAAGCACCAGACTGAAGTTATACTAACCCCATGTTTGCTGAATTTTGTTTTAAATTGAGTTTTTATCTTTTACTCCTCCTCTACGTCAGCAAAGATTTAGTTTGAATGAGTCGTTTAATGAAGTCCAATTTTGACATCCTGTCTATCCACCAACTCCCGCGTGCCCTTCTCACACGGTAACCCAACCCATAACAATCCAGGTTGTTGTTGTTTTTTTTTTCCCCCCACTTTAGCAGTGAGATTTCAGGCCTCTCAGAATTGAATGGTTGTTAATTTCCGTGGGAACAGTGCCGCTTTCTTAAAAGACTAGTCGGTGGAAAGCCAGTAATGTAGGGACACGCATACCTCCTCCAGCTGCTTGTAAAAGGTGTTCCAGTCACTCAGAAATAATACCACTAACTGGTGGTCTTGGGAATTGAAAAAACAGTGAAAAGCAGGCTTTTCCCTGTGGAACGTATAATAATCTAACAACCTAAACTATTTTAGACGCGGGGATGGGGGGGTGGGGGGATGTTGGGGGAAGGGAGGCTGAAGTAACTTCTCAGTTGGAAAAATGGAAAATGAAAAAAGTAAAAGATTGTGATACCTCTTTATTCCAAGGACACATGTAACTCCAGAGACAGACAGTCTGGTTTATTGGTAATGGGAGGGTGGGGAAAGAGGATGTTTTTTCCAGAAACTTGATATTGGTCCCAAGCTACGAAAGTGTGAAAATCAACCATAAAACTTTATCATCTGCTGACAAGTTTCACTGCTTTCACTGTAGTGTCAACAATAAGAATCTAAATAGATACTTCTGAAACGCTAATTTAATTCAACAGCCAGTTCATTGAACATACATTACAAACCCACTTCTGAAGTCCTCAACTAAGGTTTTTGTTTGTTTATTTGTCTGTTTTTGTTTTCTTTCCTGTGGTACTGAGGATTTAACCCAAGACACTCTATGGCTGAACTATATCTGGAATTTGCAATCCTTCTGCCTTAGCCTCCAGGCTTGCACCACCAAGCCTGGGTAAATATATTACCAGTATTTTGTGTGTGTGTGTGTGTGTGTGTGTGTGCCTGAGATGGGGATGGAACCCAAGGTCCTACATAAGTTAGGAAAGTGCTCTTCCATTGAGTTATATCCCCAGCCCAAGGACAGGATTTTATCTTACCCATTTTTGTATCCCAGTGACTAAGAGAGAGCACAGAAGATTCTGAATACTGGATAATTGCTTGTGAAACAATAAGTCAATGTACATTTTTTAATTTATAAAGGTTGGGCGGGGTATATAGCTCAGTATACAGCACCTGCCTAGCATGTGCCAGACCTTGGGTTCCATCCCCAGCACTGGAAAAGTAAACTTTTATTACAGATTTATCTCAAGTTAAAACATCTTTACAATTGTGTTTGACCTAAAATGAGTTCACTGTGGCTCCAGTGAGGCAATCCGTTAGCTTGTATTATTTATGTGACCTAAAATGAGTTTGGAGGTTATAGTGACCAACTTTGATTGATATGATGCTGACACTGGAGTTTTTAAGATGAGACTAGATTCTTTGTTTCACTAATTTCCTCTGGGTTCTTTTCTCACAAACTTTGAAGAATAAAACCAATGGTCTATCACAGAAGAGTAAACAGAGCAGGATTTTTTGAAGCAAAGATAGAAATCCTGCCATGCAGAAGGAGGCCTGATAGCAGAAAAACCATTTTGGTATGCCATCTAAGGAGTTTATGTATGGTTCTGGGTAGAGCACTAGCAAAATGTATGTTAAACAGGCATTGAAAAAGTATGAAGGCTATTGACTTCCTATAACTTCCATCTGGTTCACACCCACCTTCCCTTTTCCACCTTGGGGACAAAGGAGCTGGCTGCTGGGTGTCCTTACTGGTAAGCCCCAAGGTGTTTTACATTTTAAATAGGCCCTGATGGTGCTCATTCATATGTCTACTAGTTGCCTCCAGGTGTGGTTCCTGTGTTTGAATAAGACTGACCATTGACATTCTTATTCAATGCCATCTCAGTTCTTGTGGTAATAAAAATTTTAAATAGGTTTAAAAACTGTAAACAGTTTTTAACTGTGCAGTGGCACACACCTGTAAGCCCTTGGCTCTGGAGGCTGAGGCAGAAGGATCAGGAGTTCAAAGCCAGACTCAGCAACTTGGCAAGACCCTGTCTCTAAATAAAATATAAAAATGTCTGGGGTGTTGGGTGTTACTCAGTGGTTAAGCACCCCTGGGTCCAATCCCTGGTACCAAAAAATTAAAATAAAAAAAAAATAAAAACTATCTCTGGTCGGGCATGGTGGTGCATGCCTCAGCAAGGCTGAGGCAGGAGGATCACAAGTTCAAGGCCAACCTCAGCAACTTAGAGAGGCCCTAAGCAACTTTGTGAGACCCTGTCTAAATTTTAAAAATAAAAAGGGCTGAGCCACAGTGGTAAAAGCCTTCTGGGTTCAATCCCGAGTACTCACACCCCTGCAAAACAACAACATAAAAAAAAAAAAAAACCCTGTTTCCGCACTTTTCATTGCTGGCTCTAAGCATAAATTTTTACTACTTTTCTTTTCCTTTTGTTTTTTTTTTCAGGCATTGGGATGGACCCCAAGGCTCGAACATGATATGCTAGGCAAGTACTCTATCATTGAGGTACACCCTAGCCCATTACCCTCTAATTTTTTAAAAGAATTTTAAACACTGTTCTGAGTTGTCTCCAATACTTATTTGGTTAGTGACAGATCCTCCAAAAATAATTTTAATTAACTGCCTCTTAAAGTAGGAAAATGAAAGTATCATAATATTTTTTAAACTTCAATTACTGCTAAACAGAGAAACATCTATACTATATATAAAATAGAAAAATGTTCCCTAAGCCAGGTATGGTGGCTCAGGCCTGTAATTTGGGAGGCTGAGGCAGGAGGATGCCAGGTTCAAGCAATTTAGAGAGGCCCTAACAAACTTAGCAAGATCCTGTCTTAAAATAAAAAGTAAAAAGAGGATGTGGTGCATCAGTTAAATGCTCCTGAGTTCAATCTCTAGTACTCCCCCCACCAAAAAAAGTACCTTAAATGCCCTTTCTCTTGAAAATTATGTAATGCATTTACGTGTGTATCTGTATGTGTGTGTGTATGTGTATTTGTAGAACTAGAGTTGTGGTTCTGTGGTAGAACATTTACTTAGCATGCACAGGCCCCTGAATTTGATTCCCAGCACCACAAAAAAGGAAAAAATATATAAATATATATGTGTGTATGTTTGTAGTAATCCAGGGATGGAATGAGCTTGAGTGTGCTTTGAATGTGCAAGCAATGCAGGAATCACCATATTTAGAATATACCCTTTAAGAAAACCTAGAGGAGGCTGGGAATATAGCTCAATTGGTAGAGTGCTTGCCTCACATGCACAAAGCCCTGGGTTCAATCCCCAGCACCATCAAAAAAAAGGAAAGAAAACATAGAGGGCTGGGGTTGTGGCTCAGTGGTAGAGTGCTCCCCTCCTATGTTGGAGGCACTGCGTTTGATCCTCAGCACCACATAAAAATAAAATAAAGATGTTGTGTCCATCTAAAACTAAAAAAATATATTTAAAAAAGAAAGAAAGAAAACCTAGAAGTTCCAAAGCTATGGAATTAATATCAAATGGCAAGACCTCCTCTGATTTCAAAGTAGAGGTCAAGAAGTAATCAGGGTAATTTTTATTGGAAGGGTAGCAACAAAAATCCTTGAGACAATTTTGAATTCCTCAGTCTTTTTAAATAAAAAATAAAAAACAATCACCTGCTATTTTTGAACAAGCAACCAGGTGCATTCCAAAGTTTCTTTTGTTCATTTCGTTGTTGGAACATGTTGTTATTGCTGGCCCTATCCAGGGCCAATAGCTCACTTATGGACTACTTTCAGATACTAATACGTAAACAGTCCAAGTGAATAGAAAAAAAGAAAATAAGTAATTTATAATATATATATTTAGATTATAGGATATTGAATTACAACATGCTAGGGAAATGTCTGAGTCTTTTTAGTGACTGTAGTGCTATGTTGAATTCATATAAGTTCTCAAAATTTTTGAAATTGAAAATAGCTAATTAACTGGATTCTGGTTAAGCCAAGCATTTTTATTATAATGTATTTTCTTGCTGTAGAATATCCTTAGTGCTTGAACATTTGCATTCATTTGGCAAATATTTAATTATCATAGCTATGTGCCAGATAGTATAACCATCTCATAATTGGGGCTCAGGCTCCCTCAACTCATAATTTGTTTCTCTATAATTCTATTTTATTTGCTACCTTTCCTTCTCTAGAATGTATTGCCTTGTTTTGACTTTAAATTCTTTTTTTTTTAACCTTTATTTTATTTGTTTATTTTTATGTAGTGCTAAGGATTGAACCCAGCGCCTTGCACATGCTAGGGGAGCGCTGTACCGCTGAGCCCTGACATTTAATTCTTTTCAGCAACTTTAGAATTTCTGATAATATTCTT